TTATCTTAAATAAATAAATAAAATTCACTTCTTCTTGTGTTCATTTAACAAATATTTATGAGGAACTGCTCTTTGCTCTGCATTGTCCTCCCAGACACTAGAAAGACAAAGAAAAAAAAAAAAAAAAAAAAACACCAGTGCAGTTCCTATTCATTTGGGACTTACATTCTAGAGGAAAAACAACAGGCAGTAAGCAAAATGAACAAATTAGCACATTAGAAGTTTCCATATGTAAACTCGACTATGAAAACAATCAAGCCAAGAAAATGGAACACAGAGTTTTGGGAATAAGTACTACTTGAGGTGGTCAGCTTTGCAGAGACTTGAATATATTTAAGATTTTCTATTGACAGTGCCATTATTATTAATTTTTGAGTCCCAAACAGAATAAATGATAAAGCATAGGTTTGTTTGAGATTTTTTGGAATTTTCACCTTAATGTCACTGGACTTTATTAGTGTTATCAATAGGGGCCTGGACAGGAATTTCACCTCTGGGTTCAGGAACACATCATATTATATCAATCTAATGGTTATCCCAAAAAGGCAGACTGGGCCCAAGGATTGCACATAAATAATGACTCCATTCAAAGGCACACCCCTTTGATTTTATTTAAAGAGTAGCCTCTTATTAATACCTGAATGGCCAATTTTTCAAAAATGAGCTCCAATTAGTGGAACTCTTACTCCAAAGTCAATGGCACTGGTGAGAAGTCAAGAGAATCTCAAGTGTATAGTCCAATGATGGTTCAATGCCTTTTTTCCCAGAATTCTGCCACCCATCCTTTCCTTCTCTATTCTTATCTGAAATTCCACAATAAACACACACAAGACTGGTGGTTCATCTACAATTCAGACACATACTCTTACACAAATACATTGCCATTCATATTCATGATGTTTAACTTGGCTGCCTATTTAATTACTGAAAATGGCCATATCAAAATTTGCACGTGTGCATGGAAATAAAAGCTGACCACTTACATTTTAAAATTTTATTCAATATCATTTTTTATTTCTAGGTTTTTATATACCATGTTGCAAGTCTACTTTAAGGTTAAATACAATTTTGACCCAATATTGCTCTTTTGGAAAATGAATGATATTAGATTTGAAGCCTAAAAGATATAAATTATGTATCTTATGAATCTTAAGAGAGATTTTTAACTTTTTGTCAAAAGGCAAGTTCTGATTAAAAATTGAGGAAAGGTAGAACTTGGATGGAAAATTATTTGAGACCTCAAAATGCCTACATAACTCATAACCTTGAGGTAGATGCTATGATTATCCTACTAACTTCATTAAGTTCCATGGAAGCAAGGACTTGGCCTATTCACTCTGTACTCCACACCTAGTATAGTGCCTAGCACACAGACGTTGATCAAGCAAAGTGATTAAAGGACCCAAAGAAATTTTCAGACACAATTAAAAGTTTAAAAAACCCAGAAAAGTATCCCAGGCTGTGCATTGGCAAAGCTTGGCTGAACCACGACCTCAGTACCAACATGCAGAGTAGACTCAACTCTAAGACACCCTTAACACCAAAATGCAACAAGTAACCTCAGCTTAGCAACCATCAAGTGTGCAGGAGACAGTGGCTGGATCAACCGACACCAGTGACCAGACAACTGTCAGGTCTATGGTGAGCTGGGATTCTTTTTCACAGTTTTAACTAATTTGTGCTTGATCATAAATTTTAATTCAATTCCAAAATCCCTAAAACAATTCTTCACAGAACTAGAAAAAGCAACCATGAACTTCGTGTGGAAAAATAAGAGATGCAGAATAGCCAAAGCAATACTAAGCAAGAAGAGAGAAGACATATCATAATACTATAGCTTAAACTGTACTACAGAGACATCGTAACAAAAACAGCATTGTATTGTCATCAAAATAACACAGAGACCAATGAATGGTACAGAATAGAAGACAGAGAAAACTCACAAAAACACAGTTATCTCAAACTAGACCAAGGCGCCAAAAACATACATTTAAGAAAAAAAAAAAAAAAAGCCTGTTCAACAAATGGTAAATGGTGCAGGAAAAATTGGAAAGCCACATAAAATAAAAAGTAAAGCCCTCTCTCTCACTCTGCACAAAACTCAATTGAATATAGATCAAAACTTAGGCACTAGAACAGAGATCCTGAGCCAAATAGAAGAAAAAGTAGGCCTAAATCTTCACTATGTCATCCTAAGATCTGACTTCCTTAAGGTGACTCCTACATTCCAAGAATTTCAAGAATCAATAAACAGGATAGATTCAAATTAAAAAGCTTCTTCTCAGCAAAGGAAACAATCAATAATGTGAAAACAGAGCCTACAGAATAGGAGAAAATCTTCACCACATGCACCTCAGAGCATTATTCTCCAGGATATATGCAGATCTCAAAAAACATGACACCAAAAAAAACAAATAACCAAATCAATAAATGGGCTAAGGAACTAACAGACACTTCACAGAAGAAGCAACAAATACATGAAAAATGTTCAATATTTAGCCATTAGTAGAAAGCAAATCAAAACTTCTCCAAGATTTTATCCCACCCCAGTCGACAAACATGGTTATCAAGAATACAATCATCAAGTAACAATAAATGTTAGGGAGGATGTGGGGAAAAGGGTGCACGCACACATTGCTTGTGTGACTGCAAATTGAGGCAACCATTATGGAAAGCAGTATGGAAATTCCTCAGAAAACGTGGACTGGAACCAACATCTGACACAGCTCTCCCTTTCCTCATTTTATAACCAAACGACTTAAAACCAGCATATTACAATGACACAGTCACATTATGTTTACAGCAGCTCAATTCATAATAGATAAACTGTGGAACTAACCTAGGTGTCTTTCAACAGATAAATGAATAAAGAAAATGTGGTGTGTATGAGTATAGATATACATATGTGTGTATGTGTGTGTGTGTGTGTATATACATATATATAATATATATAATATATATATATTATATGTAATATATACATATATATATATATACACACACACACACACACACAATGCAAACACACATACACACACATAAACAATTTTACACACATATATAGGATGGAATAAACTCAGCCTTAAAGAAGAATTAAATTATGACATTTGCTGGTAAATGGATGGAGCTTATCATGCTAAGTGATAAGCCAATCCCAGAAAATTTTCCCTGATATGCTTATGATAATCACAGTAAGGGGGGGGGGGGGGGGTAGGGAAGAATAGAGTTGTTTTAGACTGCACAGAGAAGTGAAGAGAGGGAAAGGGGTACACTGGGTAGAGTGGATAGTAGAATGAATCAGACATTTATTCCAAAGTACATATGCAAATACGTGACTAGTGTGATGCTACATCCTGTACAACCAGAAGCATGAGAAATCATACTACATTTATGTACGCTATGTCAAAGTGCATCCTATTGTCCTGTAGAATTAGAACATTTTTTTTAAAAAGAAGATTAAAGAAAACATACCAATTTGCAGAAAAAAATATGACTACAATATCTGCCACCTGGAGACACTCATGGTAACTGAAGCTAAACCAGTCTTCAAAAAACAAAGGACAAATGTTTTCTCTGATATGTGGGAGCTAACCCACAATAGGAGGGGTGATGGGAACAGAAGTGCAGTAGATTAGACAATGGGGAATGGAGGGAAAGGAGGGGCATAAGCAAAGGAAAGACAGTGGAAAGACTCTAATGCAGCTTTCCCATGTGTATACGTGGAAACAACACTGTGAATCCCACCACCATGTACATCCTAAGAATATAATTCTAAATATATAAGGTATCTTACTTATACAAATATTGATTATATAATATTGAATTTTATGGGCCAGGATTGTGGCTCAGTGGTAGGGCACTTGCCTAGGCATGTGTGAGGCACTGGGTTTAATTCTCAGTACTGAATTAAAAAATAAAATAAAATAAATGGACCATTAACAACTTAAATAATTTTTTAAAAATGGATTCTATAATAAAAACAACCAATAAATGAAAATTAACAAAATGAAACATTTCCTAGGTTCCCTTAAACATTTTGATAGCACTGAAATCAACTTCAAATGAATGGAAAGAAAAAAGGCTTTTAAGAGTAAGTTAGTCTCCACCATTATTCTGTGAAATGATGACATAACTATTGGGACAGACTTTTCCCGCTTATGACCTCCAGAACTGTGGGAAATATTTTTCTATTATTTATGAGTCTCATAATTTTCACTAGTAGAAATTAAAATTAACAAATTTCAATATTTAGACGCTAATTACCTAACGTATAACAATACCTCGAAACCAGAGTTTGAAGATGAGACTCCATGGCTCTAGCTGGCAGGTAGGGGGTCTGCGTGCGGGGTGGGGAGGCCTCCGCAGCAGAGAGGAGTCCTACCTACCTCCTTATGGCGGGCCATTCCATCCAGCGCTGCAGCAGACCCCAGCAGATCCTCAACCATGTCTTCTTTCTTTCAGCAGTCTCTTGGAAGTCGAAGAATCACCTCTGGGAACCAAACCAGGGTGAAACTTCCATGGAACTCCGGCGAAAGTCCGGCGAAGGTCCGGCGAAGGTCCGGCGAAGGTCCCGCGAAAGTCCCGCGAAAGTCCCGCGAAAGTCCGGCGAAAGTCCGGCGAAAGTCCGGCGGAAGTCCGGCGAAAGTCCGGCGAAAGTCCGGCGAAAGTCCGGCGAAAGTCCGGCGAAATCCAGGACACCAACCTCGATGGCCTCCGCTGCTTCTCTACGTCTGAACACCCTGCAAGGGGTTTATATAGCGCTTGGTCCAATCCTATTGGTCCAAACTTATGCTAATTAGGACTTGAAAAAAGGACCAATGCTATTGGCCCAAAGTTATGCTAATTGGGTTGGACACATACTAACGCCATTGGTCAGTCTCTTTTTAATATTCATAGTAGATTCATTCATAGAAGCAGCCCCAAATTCCCACGCTGACAATGAATGAATGGGCTGGGAAGCAGCTCAATGGCAAAACCGCAAAGTGCTTGCCTCGCATTCCCAACTGGAACTGTGTGCCTGGGTGTTTCTGAGTATAATCAGGCAAGAGCCTGTAGGGACTTGCTGGTGATAACAAGGAGGATCATCAAGAAATAGTCATGGTAAGAAATGTTTTTGTTCTCTCTTCTGTTTTATGCTGCCATTCACTCATTCGTTCATTTATTTGTTCCATGGACTGATTGAGTTTATTTTATGTGCCAGGTGCCACAGTCATAGCATTTGTGCTTGTGCTTGATAGATAACAGGTTACCATTGGCCCACAAATGGACATATGTGTTCTAAAAGATTTCTGCTCTAGAGCATGTGATTGCACAGTTAGAAATTTCATTGCTTTGAGACTTTCCTTCCTCATGCCAAATACTCTTGAGTAAATGATGAAATATTGAGAAAGTGGTTTGATTTTTTTTTCCACCTTCCTCAGTGCCATTGTTAGTACAAGAAATATTGTTTCTTTCATTCTAATATTCATAATGGTTTTAGAGAATTGAAATCTTCTGCTTTCCTTGATTTCTGTTGTTATTAAGTGCAGAGCTCTATCTACTTAGGTGTGGTCTCTCCTATACATTAGATTCCATAGTGTTTAGATTATCTATAGATCATAAAATAAAAATCTGAGTAAATGGAGAATAATTTTTACACAATACTTACTTTTCTACTTTATGTGCTTAAACTATTCTTATTTCTTTACATATTTGAAATTTCATATGTTTCCCATAAAATAACTGAATTGAGTTTATTATTCACAAATATGATTTTACATACTGTCTGTGATTGCAGTGTTGAGATGCATTGTAGTATAGTTAGTGACTTGAATACAAGTATTTTTCCACTGGTTCAAAAATTTAGCAGTTAGAAAAACAGTACATTCCATTTGTGCATGCCTGAGCGTTTCAATAAAGTAATTTTGTCATAGACAAACTGGCTGGGGTTATGTAGGAGAAAATGTTAAACTTTCCCTTAGCTTTCACATAATTTTCAACAACTGGGTGGTTAAAATATGATTGTTGGTGTCTGAGTCAAGGCATGTGCATTCTTCAAATGCTTGTAATGACTGATGGGATTAGTAATTTGGTATTCTAAGAATGGAACTCTTATCTGCCCTCAAAGAATAGATAGTACCAATGGGCTATTCTAATATGGTATTGGAGCTTTTAATATGTTTTTATAGTTTTGGTAAAGTTATGCTAAACAATTATTTCTTAGGAAACCATTACCAGGAAAATGCAATAGAATTGTTTGTATGTACATCTTTTGGTATGGTATGAACTATAAAATGTTCTTACTGCCTTTTATTTATCAGTTTATCCATAATCAGCTGCTTCCTAAATTGTGTCAGATTACATTTAATAAAGTTCAAAAGACTAGTTATAAATTCCATCCATAACACTGTATGTTTAATTAGCAGCAATTTATTGAGCAAAAGGTTTAGTCTGATTAGGAGTCTTTAGGGGAAAAGGAATTTAATTAAAAGATATTTTCAGTATCAGTTGGGCTATGCACTAGAGACACATCAGTGCCATACTCTGAGCCATGTGGTATTTTCTTCTTTTTAGGTTATTTTTAAAAGTAGATTATTGGGACATTCCTACTATTGTTATGACACCTGGAAATACATTCAGTAAATACATTTATTGATTTGAATTGTTTTTTTTCTCCAAGGTCATGTTAAATGTAATTACAGTGAAGTTTGGTAAAGGTTGCCTTACTTTGATTAGGCCTTTACTGAATGAACATCTGCAGTGTGTCAATCACAAGAAGAAACAAGATTCTCCTGCACATCTTTCTTACTTTCTCTGTGGGGGAGATACATTAAACTATAGTGGTAGCTAAAAACCAAAAATGGGTGTGTTTGTTCAGATGATTTCCCTGTTTAAATACAGAGAACAATATAAAGTTAAAATATTTCAGCTAAAGTAAATTACTAAGACCTCAACTTTTGCCGCTCACTGCCTTTCTGATTGGTTCGTAAAAACCATATGTATATTTCAGTGTGGGCAGATGTAACTGTTAGTGATACACCAGTCAGCAGCCCTTGTTGTTTTTGCACAAAAATACGTTGCTTTCCCTTCTGTATATCTGATGCTTTCTGCCTCTCTCTATGTGTGAGAGACAGAGAGAAAGAAAGATCCATACATTAAATCACTGGCTAAGTTTCTGTTGAACCTTCTTGGTATCAGTGACAAGTTCAGAGCTACCTTTTTTAAAACTCAAGCTACTCCAGATGATGAAGTATGTTTCTAAATTTCCTATGGTTGGTAAAGAGCAAGGTTGTCATATATACTGTAAAAAACAACAACAACAAAAACAGGTAAATAACAGAAATCTCTATACTGAATAGGGAGGTCAAGGAAGGCCTCACCATCACACTCTCTAAGCAGGGCCGTTCAGGTAAAACCTAAATGAATGAGTAAAGAAATGAATGGAGAAGATGGAGAAACAGCTAGGGAAGGCGGTTCTAGGAAAGGACACACCAAATTCAAAGGCCTGAGAGAATGTTAATTTCTTTAGTTGAAGCCTTGCCTATTTGAAGCTTTTCTGGCAAAATAAAATTTCACTATAGAAAATAAGAGAAATATGGGGCTGGGGTTGTGGCTCAGTGGTAGAGTGCTCACCTAGCACGTGTGAGGCACTGGGTTTGATCTTCAGCACCACATAAAAGTAAATGAGTAATATAAAGGTTAAAAAAAAAAGAATGCTTAAAAAAAAGAAAAGAGAAATATATGTCAATGGGCGAATATAAATTTTGGGGGGTGGAGAGGTAGCTGCCAAGGGTTACCATGGTATCCCATGTCTTGCCAGGCCAGTCTGTCACAGTTTTGAAAGATAAAGATGATGTACGGGATAGAATGAGAAAAGCATCCCTGAGTTCTAATGACTGCCTAAAAATCATTGAGAGAGAACCTGGGATCATTGGCTCATTTAAATAGAGACAGTCCGGATATTAGTGTCTGAGCAGCCTGGCAGAAGCTGCAGGACTCCATCCTTAGGCCAGAGTTCAGTCCAGAGCTGCAGGTTCTAGAAAAACCCTGGCTTCCTCCCTGTTGCAGACTGAGGGACCGCCTTGGGGTCTGGACACAGAGCCAGGGAGACTTAATGAAAACCAGGCTGGGTCTGGCCTCAAAAAATTGTCATGGATTTTTGGAAAACGTATTAAAGGAAGGAAATGAAGACTGTAGAGGAAGTGTTTACTGTTAATTATGTGGAGAAAGAAGTGCTGGACTAATTCCCTGGTTTGCACATCACTCTAAGCAGTTCTAGTCTATGAAGTACCATACTGATTGCAAACCTAGAGGAAAATTAATTTAAGAACACAATTAAGTAGCTTGTTTTGGGGAAGCATAATAGTTCTTTGGGGGAAAAATAAGTTTAGTACTATAAATTCTGCATATTTGTTTATGAAACCAAAATGGATGGAAGGCTTACGGATGGATCTATCCTAAATACTCTCATACTACCTTGATCTATGCAAAAAAGCTACAGGAATTGCTGGTTTCTTGAAAAGACACACAATTATGGGATTTTTTTTGGAGTTGAGGTTATAGCTAAATATATATAGCATAGCCTGGAAAGGTTTAAAGAAAATTAAGCAAAACAATGTGTCCTACTAGTTTATTCGTCAGCTGCAGCACTATTGACATTTTAGACCAGAAAATTTTTGTCTTGGGGGTCTGTCCTACGCATGGTAAGATGTTTAGCAGCATCCCTGTTCTCTACCACCAGATGCTAGTAACGCTTTCTCCCTCTAAGTTGGGAAAACCAGAAGTATCTCCAGACATTGCCAGATGTGTCCTTGGGAACAAAATTGCCCCTACTTGAGAACTACTGACTAGAAGATAAATTGGGCTGAAAAAGGTTATGAAGGAACTATTGTTGGAATCCTCAGTACACCAAATATTGAAAGTAATGGACAGCTCTCTTGAATCTTAATGTAAATTCTCCCAGTGAATTGAAATCTTCCTTTTCATAATTAATTAGATCGCTATGAATTTGCAAATGCAAATATATTCCAGAAGGCTTTTGAGGAACTATTGGAAAATCATTAACTCAGATGCTTTATGGAGAGACAACCATGTCTTTCCAAAACATATTTCCAGTTCAGACAACAGAATGAGTTTTGGCTTTAGGTACAAAATGATATTTCTTCTGTTTCTTGTAGTCAAATTTCTGAAAAACATGCCTTATTTTAGATGGATTAAAATGAAACAGGAAACAGTTGATGGTTCCATTCAAATATTAATGTCCTCTGCATTTCTGCTTAATTTCAAAATATCATTTTAAGATATTTTTGTTTCTCTTTGTCCAGCTACTATTATTATGTCTCATATCCTCTAACATGTATTTTTTTCCCTCTTTCAGGAAATATTGGAAATTCTTTTATGATTGATCCCATCTTGGGCTCTATAAAAACTGCCAAAGAATTAGATCGAAGTAACCAAGTGGAATATGATTTAATGGTGAAAGCTACAGATAAAGGCAGTCCACCAATGAGTGAAATGACTTCTGTGCATATCTTTGTCACGATTGCTGACAATGCTGCTCCTAAGTTTACATCAAAAGAATACTCTGTTGAAATTAGTGAAATTACCAGCATTGGGAGTTTTGTTGGACTAGTTATAGCCCATAGTCAGTCATCAGTGATATATGAAATAAAAGATGGAAATATAGGTGATGCTTTTGATATTAATCCACATTCTGGAAGTATCATCACTCAGAAAGCCCTGGATTTTGAAACTTTGCCCATTTATACATTGACAGTCCAGGGAACCAACATGGCTGGTTTGTCCACTAATACAACTGTTTTAGTGCATCTACTAGACGAGAATGACAACTCGCCAGTTTTTATGCAGACAGAATACTCAGGACTTATCAGTGAATCAGCTTCCCTCAACAGTGTAGTCCTGACAGACACGAATATCCCACTAGTGATCCGAGCAACTGATGCTGATAAAGAATCAAATTCCTTGCTTGTTTATCACATTGTTGAGCCGTCTGTGCACAAATATTTTGCTGTTGATTCTAGCACTGGTGCTATTCATACAGTACAAAGCCTGGACTATGAAGAAACAAGTGTTTTTCACTTTACTGTACAAGTGCATGACATGGGCACACCACGTTTATTTGCTGAATATGCAGCTAATGTCACCATACACGTAATTGACATTAATGACTGCCCTCCTGTTTTCTCCAAATCATTGTACGAAGCATCTCTTCTGTTGCCAACATACAGAGGAGTAAAAGTCACCACAGTAAATGCTACCGATGCTGATTCCAGTGCGTTCTCACAGTTAATATACTCCATCACTGAAGGCAACATTGGGGACAAGTTTATGATGGACTACAAGACTGGCACTATAACTGTACAAAACACAACTCAGTTAAGAAGCCGCTATGAGTTAACCATTCGAGCTTCTGATGGCAGATTTGCCAGCTTTACCTCTGTGAAAATTAACGTGAAAGAAAGCAAAGAAAGTCAGCTCAAGTTTACCCAAGACTTCTATTCTGCAGTCGTGAAAGAGAACTCCACGGAAGCCAAAACATTAGCCGTCATTACTGCTATTGGGAATCCTATCAACGAACCTCTGTTTTATCACATCCTCAACCCAGACCGCAGATTTAAGATCAGCCGCACTTCAGGAGTGCTGTCCACCACTGGTATACCATTTGATCGTGAACAGCAGGAGGCATTTGATGTGGTTGTAGAAGTGACAGAAGAACATAAGCCTTCAGCAGTGGCCCATGTTGTCGTGAAAGTCACTGTAGAAGACCAAAATGACAATGCACCAGTGTTTGTCAACCTTCCCTATTATGCTGTAGTTAAAGTGGATACTGAGGTAGGCCATGTCATTCGCTATGTCACTGCTGTAGACAGAGATAGTGGCAGAAATGGGGAAGTGCACTACTACCTTAAGGAACACCATGACCACTTTCAAATTGGACCCTCAGGTGAAATTTCATTGAAGAAGCAATTTGAACTCGACACCTTAAATAAAGAATATCTTGTCACAGTGGTTGCAAAAGATGGAGGAAACCCAGCTTTCTCAGCCGAAGTTATAGTCCCAATCACTGTTATGAATAAAGCCATGCCTGTGTTTGAAAAACCTTTCTACAGTGCAGAGATTCCAGAGAATATCCAGATGCACAGCCCAGTTGTCCACATACAAGCCAACAGTCCAGAAGGTTTAAAAGTGTTCTATAGCATCACAGATGGAGATCCTTTTAGCCAGTTTACCATTAACTTCAATACTGGGGTTATAAATGTCATAGCCCCTCTGGATTTTGAGTCCCACCCAGCATATAAACTGAGCATACGAGCAACTGATTCTTTGACTGGTGCTCATGCCGAAGTGTTTGTTGACATAATAGTGGAAGACATCAATGATAACCCTCCTGTGTTTGTTCAGCAGTCTTATGCTGCAACTCTGTCTGAGGCATCTGTGATTGGAACATCTGTCGTTCAAGTTAGAGCTACAGATTCTGACTCAGAACCAAACAGAGGAATTTCATACCAGATGTTTGGAAATCACAGCAAGAGTCATGATCATTTTCACATAGATAGCAGCACTGGTCTCATCTCACTAATCAGAACTTTAGATTATGAACAGTTCCACCAGCACAAGATTTTTGTAAGGGCTGTTGATAGTGGTATGCCCCAACTGAGCAGTGATGTGATTGTCATGGTGGATGTCACTGACCTCAATGATAATCCTCCACTCTTTGACCAACAAATTTATAAAGCCAAAATTAGTGAGCATGCCGCTCATGGGCATTTTGTGATGTGTGTGAAGGCCTATGATGCAGACAGTTCAGACATAGACAAGTTGGAATATTCCATTCTGTCTGGCAATGATCATAAACATTTTGTCATTGACAGTAAAACGGGGATTATCACACTCTCAAATCTGCGCCGGCACACCTTGAAGCCATTTTACAGTCTCAACATTTCTGTTTCTGATGGTGTGTTTAGAAGTTCAGCTCAGGTTCATATAACTGTAATTGGAGGCAATTTGCACAGTCCTGTTTTTCTTCAGAATGAATATGAAGTGGAACTTGCTGAAAATGCTCCCTTACATACACTGGTGATTGAGGTTAAGGCAACCGATAGGGATTCTGGTATTTACGGTCTCATTACTTACCACATTGTAAATGACTTTGCCAAAGACAGATTTTACACAAATGAGAGAGGACAGATATTTACTTTGGAAAAACTTGATCGAGAGACCCCAGCAGAGAAAGTGATCCCAGTTCGTTTAATGGCAAAGGATGCTGGAGGAAAAGTTGCTTTCTGCACAATTAATGTTATCCTTACAGATGATAATGATAATGCACCCCAGTTTCGGGCAACCAAATACGAAGTGAACATCGGATCCAATGCTGCAAAAGGAACGTCAGTCATTAAAGTTTTTGCAAGTGATGCTGATGAGGGATCCAATGCTGATGTCACCTATGCCATTGAAGCAGATTCTGAAAGTGTTAAGGAGAATTTGGAAATTAACAAACTGTCTGGCATAATTACCACAAAGGAGAGCTTAATTGGCTTAGAAAACGAGTTCTTCACTTTCTTTGTTAGAGCTGTGGATAATGGGTCTCCATCAAAAGAATCTGTTGTTCCTGTCTACGTTAAGATACTTCCCCCAGAAACACAGCTTCCAAAATTTTCAGAACCCTTTTATACCTATACAGTTTCAGAAGATATGCCTATTGGAACAGAAATAGATCTCATCCAAGCAGAGCACAGTGGCACTGTTCTTTACAGCCTAATCAAAGGGAATACTCCCGAAAGTAATAGAGATGAGTTCTTTGTGATTGACAGGCAAAGTGGGAGACTAAAATTGGAGAAGAGTCTAGATCATGAGACAACTAAGTGGTATCAGTTTTCCATACTTGCCAGATGTACTCGTGATGATTATGAACTGGTGGCTTCAGTAGATGTTAGTATCCAAGTGAAAGATACAAATGATAACAGCCCAGTCTTGGAGTCAAATCCATATGAGGCATTTGTTGTTGAAAACCTACCAGGGGGAAGTAGAGTCATCCAGATTAGGGCATCTGACCTAGATTCAGGAGCCAATGGTCAAGTTATATACAGTCTCGATCAGTCACAAAGTGTAGACATCATCGAATCTTTTGCCATTAATATGGAAACAGGCTGGATTACAACTCTAAAGGCACTGGACCATGAGGAGAAAGACAATTATCAGATTAAAGTGGTTGCATCAGATTATGGCGAAAAGGTTCAGCTGTCCTCCACGGCCATCGTGGACGTTACTGTCACAGATGTCAATGACAGTCCACCACGATTCACAGCAGAGATTTATAAAGGGACTGTGAGTGAAGACGATCCACCAGGTGGTGTAATTGCCATCTTAAGTACCACAGATGCTGACTCTGAAGAGATTAACAGACAAGTTACATATTTTATAACAGGTAAAGATTTCAAACCAATTGGTTTAATTTAAAGTGTATTAAAAGTATATTGTATATGTATTTTAGGGAAATAGAGAGTTAAAGGGATAGTTTTAGTTAATAAGTAGCTAAGTCACATCTTTTAAGTGCATTTCAGGTTCTTTACCTAAGTACAACTGTTTCCTTAGACTGATTTTCATGCTCATTCTGTTGAGCGTAAATTTTATTTGGCTTACTGCTATGTTTAAGTACATATTTTAATGCTGTTTTTTGGGGGTAAAAAGTTGAAGTTTGCCAAATTTATATTAATTATTTTTAGAATTCTTAATCCTTTTAAACTGTAACTATACATCTTTTGTATGATTTATTTTTCCTGTTACTTATTTCTGTCTTTAATTCAACAAATTTGACTGTCATCTTCCTTCATTGATTTAATAGGAGGGGATGCTTTGGGACAGTTTGCTGTTGAAAATATACAGAATGAGTGGAAGGTCTATGTGAAGAAACCTCTAGATAGGGAAAAAAAGGACAATTATCTTCTGACCATCACAGCAACTGATGGGACCTTCTCATCAAAGGCTATTGTTGAAGTGAAGGTTCTTGATGCAAATGACAACAGTCCAGTTTGTGAAAAGGTAGGCTTCTCTTTTAAGTTTGAATATTAGAATTCAAATTTCTTAATCCTTTTAATAGGACTGCCGTTGACCTCTCTGTTGTAATTTAGTTGTGTTTTATATTATAAGCACTGTTAAAGCAGAGGTGTCCAATGATAGAAGACTTGGAAAAGCTTCAGAACTATTTTGTGGAATGGTCAGTTGCTCAAAAACTTTGTTCTTAAATTATGGACAGGATTACAGTTTTGTCTAACTCTAAAAATACTCTGTCAACTTTCATTAAAAGGATTCTTCAATTTGAGAATAAGGTTGTTTTGGTGAAAACATTTGACCAGCTCTTCTACAAAGCTCAGTTTTACTTTAGCAGATCATTTTGGAGCACTTGCTTTTCTACACAGTAGAAAAACTTAAGAGGTTAGGGAAGAGGCTCCTACACCTGTGGCGTTCACTATTTAATGGGAGAACAACATAACCAGAGCCGGGTGTGGTAGTACATGCCTGTAATCCCAGCAGCTCTGGAGGCTGAGGCAGGAGGATCTTGAGTTCAAAGTTAGCCTCAGCAAATTAGCAAGACCCTAAACAACTTAGTGAAACCCTGTCTAAAACCAAAAATATAAAAGGGGTTGGGGATTGAGATGTGGCTCAGTAGTTAAGTCCCCCTGGGCTCAATCCCTAGTAACCATATATATCTATTTGAGAGAAGAGCTGTTCCCCCTCCAAGTTTACTATAAGAGTAGTAGGACTCAAGCAGAAGTGGTCGCTGGAGCCGGGAGATGAGGTAAAGCTGTTCAGGGCTCACCTTTCAGGAGGTAGGGATAGGATGATCAGGAGGAGTGGAAAGGTGGTGTGTGAGGAGGGAATGGAGGTGGGGGAATATTTGCTGATTTTGCCAGAAGTGTTAAATCCCTGGGAAGGGGGGAGAAGGTCAAACTGGATTAAGGAATGTATGGAGGATAAGATAGGGATGTTATGAACCAAGAGTTCCTTAAAGAAGTTCAGTTTGGTTGTGGTATGGCTATAATTTGGGTAAGGAAGAATGAAAACCCATAGAACAGGCAGAGGTGGCAGAACAATGAAAGTTCTGAAGGCGCCACATTAAAAAAGTGGTAGCATTCAGTCCCTGCCTGAATGTGACAGGAATGTTGTGTCAGGACTTGAACATTTACTGCCAAGGGTATTTGGAGAAAGAACAAGGTGGTGGCAGAGGTAAGCCTGGAGGGGACATCTGTCTTAGCGGAAGCCTGTCGCGTTCCATTTCAGATTTGTTTAATTTCAGGCAATGGGACTTTTAATTGGATGTGATTTTTAGACATTTAGAGATGGTGAGATTCAGGATGGATATTAGAGAAAGATAGCTATACCTGGCAGTTGTTTTTGGAAGCTGATCATTGAGTTCATTTGAGGGATACCAACAAAAAGGTGGTCAGGGAGAAGAGATGAGTAACTTGCAAAGGAAGCAGAGATGGAAGGAAGAGTCAGACTGACGCAGTGCAGTCAAGGGGGTGAGAGAATTTTGAGGAGGAAGGGGGGTAAGCAAAGGTATAATGTAGCGGGAAAAGATGGCCGAGATGTGAAACAGACCATATCAGTTCTGCGAGTGACTTGGGAAATAGCAGTCTCTGGATCATGATGTTAAGTGGACACTTACCTGACTAAAGGTCACATGGTGTGCATTAATGAAGAAATAGCTTTGACCAGTGCAGAGGGTTAAGAGTAATGGAAGGAAGAAGAGTGTGACAGCATAAGAGAAGACTGGTAGAGGGGACAGTGAATGTGAACAGGGACAGAGCCACTTGAGAATGCTGCAGATTGAGTAAGCGGAGAGGTGTTGCTGCTGCAGAGAACAACAGAGCTGATCTCAGGCAAAGAGATGCTGGATATTCATTTTTGGGGAGGTGGGACTCCTGAAGGATGAGGAGTTAATTCCTATTCCTTTTTGTACTTTTAGGTGAGAATATGGGATGGGGTTATGCACATGTCTCCCCTTTATGGAAATTAAATGTATTTTGTTTTCTAGGACTTTCACATTATTTGAATGTAATACTGTAACTTCTTTGGGAATAATAAAATTAGGACACTAAACCATTTGAATTAAATAGTATTGCAAAATATCCTGTTTCATGAGTCATAAAATATAGCTCACCTAAGGGCCTGGAGGGGTATAGCTTAGTGTTAGGGTGCTTGCCTAGCATGTCCAAGGCCCAGGTTTGGATCCCCAGCATTAAAAATATATCTGTCTACACAGACACACACACACACACATGTGTGTGTGTGTATATATATATATATATACATAAACTTATTCATAAAGTATATTCAACAAATCTTAATCTGTTCCTCTTATGTTTTTATTTATTGCATGTATTCCTTAATAATTGGAACAGGAAACAGCTGTTTACTGTGTTTGAAGGTTAAGTAGGTATGAAGAAAGAGGAGCAGGTATCCTGTCTGTGGCTTTGGGGAAAATTTTGTTTTCTCCCATAACACAAGGATCACTTCTCTCCCAAATACAATCATTTAGTTATGTTAACGAACACTTGCACACACAATAAATTCCTGTACTTGGAAATAAGTATATACGGTGTAATACGTATTCTCTCTACTTTTTAGATAAATATGGAACACTACTTACGTTTCTCTATAAGAATTTAAATGTGAAACTGCCTTAACAACTTACTGTTTTCTATTCTGTTGTTAAAATGTTAGGTCAGACTCTTTCAGGGACATGATATTGGTAACTCTTAGTTTCTCCCTCATTTTACATGTGTTTTTTAAAGAAAAATAGTTTTAAAAGCTTTTTGAATCTGAACTTTAGTCATTTTCTATGTTTTCTTTGGCCAAAATGAAATAATTTCTTTTTCGTTATTCTCTTAATAATCACTGCTGACTTTTAATTTCCTCATTCTAACAATGTTGTTTAAAATCTTTGTAGACTCTTTATTCAGACACCATTCCTGAGGACGCTCTTCCTGGGAAATTGATCATGCAGGTCTCTGCTACAGATGCAGATATCCGTTCCAATGCTGAAATTACTTACACGTTGTTTGGTTCAGGGGCAGAAAAATTCAAACTAAATCCAGACACAGGTAATGATGAGAGTTTGGGACAAGTTTCATTGTGTACTCTTACAAAATCTTGTGTGTTGGGTGATTTAGTTTACATACAGTATTTGTCCTTTTCAAATTTACCCTGCTGCTTGGAGTTGACATCTTTTGGAAATCTAAATAGCAATTTAATGTGCCAAATTCGGGGTAAGATGGGGAAAAAAAAAAAAAAGAGCAGCAATATCACTTACCTTGAGCTAACAATTTAAAACTTAAAAACTGTTTATATAATTAAAAAAAAAAAACAACTCAAAGTATACGTCAAATTTCCTGCTTCATTTGTTTTATTTATAAAGCACATTTAAAAAATTTGTGACCATGAATTTATAATTTAACATTTTCCATAATTAAAATGATCCATATTGTTTTATTCATCTTTATAGTTTGTATTTTGTTAAAGTTGCAATAATGTGCTGCGTATGGTGGTGTACACCTGTAATTCCAGCACCTCGGGAGGCTGAGACAGGAGGATCACAAGTTCAGTGCCAGCCTCAGCAAAAGTGAGGTGCTAAGCAACTCAATGAGACCCTGTCTCTTAATAAAATACAAAATAGGACTGAGAATGTGGCTCAGTGGACAAGTGCTCCTGGGTTCAATCTGTGGTACTAAAAAAAAGAAAGAAAAAAATTGTGATAACGTAATAGGTTTCCTTTAAGCTTTTTTATTTTCTCAAGAACAGATTATGGACATATGAGCCTTAATTTTTTAATCAATAAAAGGTTCAAATTTGGTTAATTAGCTGTTTTACTTTGGGGATTGTGTGCAGCATAAGAGTCTTTGGCCTCATATTCTATGACTAGTATAGGGTCGAAAACCTGGAACATGTGTGCTCATCCAGCTGTTGAGTCTGTTATTGATAAAATTGTTCTCCAGAGAAAAGCTGTTATTCATATTTAGTAAGAGAAGAGAAGTAGGATGTATAGCTGCAGTTCACAATTAAATTTCAAGTGATTCCATTTATTTCTGTTTGTTTTTAGGTGAACTGAAAACATTAGCCCCCCTTGATCGGGAGGAGCAAGCAGTTTATAATCTGCTAGTCAAGGCCACAGATGGAGGGGGAAGATTCTGTCAAGCCACTGTTGTGCTTACGTTAGAAGATGTGAATGATAACGCCCCTGAATTCACTGCTGATCCTTATACCATTACTGTGTTTGAAAACACAGAGCCTGGAACACTGTTGACCAGAGTGCAAGCCACAGATGCAGATGCAGGTATCCTCTGGAAGATTGCTCTGCCTTCAGACTGCACTGAGGGCTTAGGAGCCACTGTGTTAAACACATTCCAAATGCAGCCTCATCTTACCTCATACATGTGGAGTAGCTCCTCATTGTCATAAAATGACATCTTCAGAATAATTAATTCGCTTTTAATGAATATTTGAAGCCTTAAAATTATGCCCAGTAAACTTACTGCTATAAGATGTATCTATAGGGTTACTAACATTCTTGTTAGTGACTTCAAGAATTGATCTTCATGTCTAATTGAATTAATTAGAGAAGTGTTGTTTTGTTAATACACTGTTTGGTGTCATAAAGATAGAACAGGCAAAAGATGTATTATCATAGTTTATAAATCTTTTAAAATTTTTTGTGGAGACAGTAGGACTAAAATATATATTCATAGCATTTTGATAGTAAAGAGTAACTTCTTTAGTCTAATACTGAAGAATTAGAAGAAAACAAAAAAATACTTTTCAAATAATTTCTTTGTCTTTAACGCTAAATAGTAAATAGATGTCTTTTTAAAATAGTACACTCAGTAAATTGTTACTTGTAAATTGGTAATTCAGTTTACTTTTTCTCGATCACTTTCATAAATTTTTTAAGTAATAAAGCATTTTACTATTTTTAAAATTATTAATATCAATTAAACATAATTTCATATCTTCACAGGTTTGAATCGAAAGATTTCCTACTCACTGATTGACTCTGCTGATGGGCAGTTCTCCATTAATGAATTATCTGGAATTATTCAATTAGAAAAGCCTTTGGATAGAGAACTACAGGCAGTATATACCCTTAGTTTGAAAGCCGTAGACCAAGGTTTGCCAAGGAGGTTGACAGCTACTGGCACTGTTGTTGTATCAGTTTTAGATATAAATGATAACCCACCTGTGTTTGAATACCGTGAATATGGTGCCACAGTGTCTGAGGACATTCTAATTGGAACAGAAGTTCTTCAAGTTTATGCAGCAAGTCGGGATATTGAAGCAAATGCAGAAATCACCTACTCAATAATAAGTGGAAATGAACATGGGAAATTCAGCATAGATTCTAAAACAGGTAATTTACCATGTAAATGAGAAGAAGTTCTTTATTTCACCAAAAAGGCTAGATTTGCTAGGCACTGAACTGCATAGAGTGACCGGGTCACCTGTAGTCAGTAGATGTTCAGAAAAGATGGAGCTCAAGTTTTCCTTTTGTTATTTTTTTAAAGTGTGAGAGTGGTTAAGATGACTTCAGACTGTAGCTCTACTTAATAAAATATATTTCTGGTATATCATTGTAAACTACAAGCAAATCAGAAGAGAAAATTAAAATTCTAATAGCTTAGTGATGAAGTAAAATGTCACACATTAGTTAAAGGTAAGAATGGCTGATAGTAGAGGACCTTGTATAATTACTCCTTTTATCCCCTGTATTCAACACAGGTGAAGTAGCTTCCCAAGTAAAACCATAGCTTTGACCTTTCAGATCTTAGTTTCTATGGTAGGTGTCTGATAATTCATTAAGTTGATTTCTTCATTATGCTAGTTATGTAATAGTGGACATACTTTGGATCATACCAAAAGACTGCCAACAAGGTCAAAAGTCGGAAGTATTATTAATCCTATTGTGTAAACACTGATGTCATCTTATTAGCCTGTTATCTGAAGTAGCTGTCAGTCTTAGAACCCTTTAAGAAGTTGCTCTTTTTTGTAGGGTATCCTTGAAAGCTGAAAGGAGATCAGTACAGTAGAGGGAAGGGACCCAGATAGCTGGAAAAATGATGTTGGCCAAATTATATTGTTAAACTGTGTACATGTACAAATATGTAACAACAAATCCCACCATTACATGTAGATATAATACACCAATAAAAAAGGTGGGGAGGGACCTCAATGCAATTATAAAATAAAGAAATAAAAAGTTTGTGTATTTAATTGTATGTGACTACTTCAGATAAAGAATAGGTGTGTAATTATGTTATTTAGACAGATATTTTAGTACATATCATAAAATCGTTGTTTTAGGGTTCTTTTGTCCCTGTCTCTTTTTAAGTAGAATAGACAATAATGAACTGACAATGAAAGGTGTCACAGGAATTGTTAGATCAAAAAATGGATTTTTAATGATAAAATATAAGTAGAAGGTTATGTGGAGATTCTTTCCTAATGAAAAGGATGAATAAGTCTTTTAAAAAGAATGAGAAGGAAAAAAAAAACTAAAAGCACAGCATGGAATTTTTTAGAGTTTTCTTTTGTTTATTAAAATAAAGTCTGTTGTGATCTCTGGTTTGAGATACAAGAGATAATCATTCTTATAGTAGGGATATTTTAATGGCTGGGAAAATAATTGGGAGAAATAAGGCTTCAGGGTTGGGCAAATTCCTGATTTTTAATATTTGAATTAAGAAATTAGAAAACACAGCCAGGCATGATGACACATGCCTATAATCCCAGCTGCTCAGGAGACTGAGGCAGAAGGATTGCAAATTCAGAACCAGTCTAGGTAACTTCTTCAGACCCTATCTCAAAATGAAAGGATTCAAAAAGGACTCGGGAAGTAGCTCATTAAAGTGGTAGCGATATAAAGATTTGCTAGTAATTTTGATTTTTTTTTTAAATGCAGGAGCCATATTTATCATTGAGAATCTGGATTATGAAAGCTCCCATGAATACTACCTGACTATAGAAGCCACTGATGGAGGCACACCTTCGTTAAGTGACATGACCACTGTGAACATTAATGTGACAGATATCAATGACAACACGCCCGTGTTCAGCCAAGACACCTATACCACAGTGATCAGTGAAGATGCTGTTCTTAAGCAGTCTGTAATCACAGTGAGTATATTTTTCCCCCTTACAGTTTTCTTCTTCTGGGTCTTTACAAGAATTTTTAGTTAAATCAGTCTAGTTTTTGTAGACCACTGTCCCTTCCTTAACTGTCTTCCTAAAGCAGAGTGTGATATTTTCTAGGTTATGGCTGATGATGCTGATGGACCTTCCAATAGCCACATCCACTACTCAATTATAGAAGGCAATCAAGGAAGCCCATTTACCATTGACCCTGTTAAGGGAGAAGTGAAAGTGACTAAACTTCTAGACCGAGAAACAGTAAGTGAAAAAGTTGGATTTAAATTGTTTACTAAATACCAAATCAAAAAATAGAAGTGCCTTGTATTCCTATCTGCTGGACATAATGTGAAGTACCAAAAGTTAGAACCAACTTCCTTCTCAGGAACAGACTAGCAGGATGTAAATACTTGAAAAGCAATTGCAATACAAAAGCCTCAAGAATATAAGAAATAGGCTTCCTGCTAGTAGAAAGTTTATATTCAGGAAGAGATTGCTAATGGCTTCAACATCCTGAGATCCTTCAGGTGTTCGTTTTTTAGTTTTTTGTCACTGTGCCCAAAAAGTGGAGAAGGAAAAGTTTATTTTGCTCTGGGCCCAAAGTGAGGCAGAACATCTTGATGGAAGAGTGTGGTAGAGGGAAGCTGCTCCATTTGTGGTGGCCAGGAAACAGAGATAGGAAGGGGAAGGGGCCTCAGGGAAGTCCTCAGTGGCTTACCTCCTCCAGCCATGCCCCAACGACCACAGGCACCACCTGTTCCAGCTAGGGTGACTAAGTAAGTTAACTGTAATAATCTGACATCTCACCTCTGAAGAGACCTGCGTTAATGTAGGAGCTTTGGGGGGGACACCTCATACCCAAACAGAAAACGACATATAACTGGAAGCTGGATTTTAAATAACAGCAGGGATTTGGAAAACCATTGGGGTCGAGAGAAGGAAATTCCCTGAAAGAAATTGCATGAATGAAAGCATGGAGAATGAAACCATAGAATACGTTCAAGAGACTGTACCCAGTTCTACTGGAGAAATGTATCATAAAAAGTAGTAGAGGGACATTCAGTGAGAAGTGGTTTAGGAACAGATTATGAGCCACATAATCAGGATCAGAGGTTCAGACCTGATGCTGCATGCATTAGGAAATTATTGAATGTTTGCGATCTGATATATATTAAAAGAGTTTGGGAAGATTAGTACTTCCATACGTGGAAGTATTCTTCAGAGTGGAGAGAGATGGTGAGGTGGGGTGGTGGTAGTGGTAGGAAAGGCTATTGATAATTCAACGATTGTGAGACAGTAAGAGGCCAAATTTAGGAAAGCAGCAGTAAGAATTGAATGAAAACACAAAGAAACTTCGGGCAGAAGCCGCCCGGGCAGAAGCCGCAGCCGCCGCCCGGGCAGAAGCCGCCCGGGCAGAAGCCGCAGCCGCCGCCCGGGCAGAAGCCGCCCGGGCAGAAGCCGGAGCCGCCGCCCGGGCAGAAGCCGCCCGGGCAGAAGCCGCCCGGGCAGGAGCCGCCCGGGCAGAAGCCGCAGCCGCCGCCCGGGCAGGAGCCGCCCGGGCAGGAGCCGCCCGGGCAGGAGCCGCCCGGGCAGAAGCCGCCGGAGCCGCCGCCCGGGCAGGAGCCGCCCGGGCAGGAGCCGGAGCCGCCGCCCGGGCAGGAGCCGCCCGGGCAGGAGCCGGAGCCGCCGCCCGGGCAGGAGCCGCCCGGGCAGGAGCCGCCGCCGCCGCCCGGGCAGGAGCCGCCCGGGCAGGAGCCAGACCCGCCGCCCGGGCAGAAGCCGCCCGGGCAGAAGCTGCCCGGGCAGAAGCCGCAGCCGCCACCCGGGCAGGAGCCGCCCGGGCAGAAGCCGGAGCCGCCGCCCGGGCAGGAGCCGCCCGGGCAGGAGCCGCCGCCGCCGCCCGGGCAGGAGCCGCCCGGGCAGGAGCCGCCCGGGCAGGAGCCGCCCGGGCAGGAGCCGCAGCCGCCGCCCGGGCAGAAGCCGCCCGGGCAGAAGCCGCAGCCGCCGCCCGGGCAGAAGCCGCCCGGGCAGAAGCCGGAGCCGCCCGGGCAGGAGCCGCCCGGGCAGGAGCCGCCCGGGCAGGAGCCGCCCGGGCAGAAGCCGAAGCCGCCCGGGCAGGAGCCGCCCGGGCAGGAGCCGAAGCCGCCCGGGCAGGAGCCGCCCGGGCAGGAGCCGCCCGGGCAGAAGCCGGAGCCGCCCGGGCAGGAGCCGCCCGGGCAGGAGCCGCCCGCCCGGGCAGGAGCCGCCCGGGCAGGAGCCGCCCGCCCGGGCAGGAGCCGCCCGGGCAGGAGCCGCCCGCCCGGGCAGGAGCCGCCCGGGCAGGAGCC